AACCCGGGCCGCATGCATGCCAGGCGAGCGCGCTACCGCTTGAGCCACATCCCCAGCCCTCTCACAGTTTCTTAATCCATTCATCTATTGAAGAACATATAGATTGCTTCCACAGTTTAGCTATTGTGAATTGAGCTGCTATAAACATTGATATGGCTGCATTACTATAGTATGCTGATTTTAAGTCCTTTGGGTATAGACTGAGAAGTGGCAAAGCTGGGTCAAATGGTGGTTCCATTCCAAGTTTTCTAAGAAATCGACATACTGCTTCCCAGATTGGTTGCACCAGTTTACAGTCCCACCAGCAATGAATGAGTGTACCTTTTCCCCTATGTTGAACATTTTTTCATATATTTGTTGATCAAATGTATATCTTCTTCTGAGAAGTGTCTTCAGCTCCTTAGCCCATTTATTGATTGGGTTGTTTATTTTTTTTGGTGTTAAGTTTTTTGAGTTCTTCATATATCCTGGCAATTAGGGCTCTATCTGATGTGCATGTGGCAAAATTTTGCTCCCAAAAGGTAGGCTCTCTCTTCACTTCATTGGTTGTTTCTTTTGCTGAAAAGCAGCTTTTTAGTTTGAGTCCATCTCATTTATTAATTCTTGATTTTATTTCTTGCGCTTTAGAAGTCTTGTTAAGGAAGTTGGGGCCTAATCTGATGTGATGAAGATTTAGGCTGCCTTTTCCTCTATTAGGCACAGGGTCTCTGGTCTAATTCCTAGGTCCTTGATCCACTTTGAGATTTGGGTTTTGTGCATGGTGAGAGATAAGGGTTTATTTTCATTTTGCTGCATATGGATTCCCAGTTCTCCCAGCACCATTTGTTGAAGAGGCTATCTTTTCTCAGGATGTATTTTTGAATTGGCATTATTTGACTCATTTGTTTTGCCAAATGATACAAGAACTAGAAAATATAAATACTTAGGTTAGAAGATTTTTTGGACTGAGAGTATACTAGCCTCATATATTGTAACCTTGAGCCAGAGAAAATCACCAAAAATATACACAATCACTTATATATACATCTAGTGCCTATAAGGTTATGCCTTGCCACTTCCCGCCCCCCTTGGTACTGGGGATTCCAGAAGCGCTGAATCACATCCCCAGCCTGTTTTATTTTTTATTTTCAGTCAGGGTTTCACTCAGTTGCTTAGAGCCTTGCTAATTTGCAGAGACTGGCCTCAAATTTTGATGCCTCCCAAGTCACTGAGATTATAAGTGTGCATCACCACACCCATCTTTAATACTCCTCTTAAAAGTTTGCATCTGAAAAAATAAAAATAGTGATGGCGAACCAGGAAAACATTTTAAAAGTTTCCATTTGTCTATATTCTCTTTTTTCCTTTAAATTGCTTTTTTCTTTGTTCTGGTTTGTTTTTTTTTCAGAGTAAATGCCTTCTTGAATTTCTGGTGATATTTCACTATCTTCTCATTTTTAAAAGCAGGACTGGGGCAGTAGCTCAGCTATAGAACACTTGCCTAGTATGTATAAGGCCTGGATTCAAAAAAAAAAAAAAAAGCAGATCTTCTGTGCTTATGATTGAAGCTTATGCACCATGATTTTCACTTTAGGGGGATCCACATGTGTCATTTCCTTCAGGGACCTCTGATGTATGTTCTTCTAGGTCTTTTGGGTAATCATATTCAGTTGGTAAATTGTAAATTTTTCGATGTTGATTTTCTGTCCCTTTCTTGGAATTTCTAGGTGCGTGCAGTCTTTGGATTCTTATATTGTACATAAAAACATCTCCTGTAGGTCTCTGCACCTTCTTTTAAACATCTTTTGGACTCTGCATATTCATTTCAACTTTCATGGCACTTAGCAGTTTGGGAAACTTGCTAAAAAACTAAACAAGAAAGTAGAAGCAAATATGTGATCCATAGAGTACAAAATTGGAGTCACTTTCAGAGCCTTATTTTTCCTTAATTATATTTGATCAGAAATTGGATGAACCTTCGAGATGCTGAGACAGGGAAAATACTCTGGCAAGGAACAGAAGACCTGTCTGTCCCTGGTGTGGAGCATGAAGGTACTTTCTAATACCTGTGTTCACAGGGCTGTAGTCAATACCAGAACCAGCCCTGGGCATCAGGAAGCTAAGTAAATGCATACCTAATAAGTGTGTGAGCCCTGATAGCATAACATGCAAATCCACATGTTGCTGGCATTTTTTGTTCCTTTCTTATATATTTTTTTCCACTTCCCATTTTGTGTTGAAATTTTAGCATTAGAATAAACCTAAAGATATGAACTAAGATCTCAACTTTTTTTCCAAAAGAAAATTTGCATTTTTTAATCTCCCTGAAGTAAAAGAGAAAGCAGAGTTAAAATTGAGAGTAGAGGGGCTGTGGCTGTGGCTCAGCAGTATAGCGTTCGCCTAGCATGTGCGAAGCACTAGGTTCAATCCTCAGCACCACATAAAAAATAAAATAAAGGTATTGTGTCCAACTGCAACTAAAAAAAAAAAAAATTGAGATTAGAGTCAGGCACAATGGCACACACCTGTAATCCCAGCTACTCAAGAGGATGAGACAGGAGCATCGCAAGGTGGAGGCCAGCCTCAACAATTTAGTAAGACCCTGTCTTAAAAAGGGCTAGGGATGTATCTTAGTGCTAAAGCTCTTGTCTAGTATGCATAAGGCTGGGTTCAATCCCAGTTATACAACAACAACAAAGTACTAAAAGAATAAAAAGAGGGTACCCATGCAGCCCTGTGCCTGGTGAAGGCAGCTACACAAGGCCCTTAGAGGCACCAAATCTGGTATTCCTTGAAGATCTTTCAGGTACAGTGGGTGCATTCGAGCTCTCTCCCTTCAACTGAAGTTTCATGCAGTTACAGGGGCATTATCTGAATTTAATATATTTAATAAGTTTCCTAAATCATCAGTAACAAGTTCCCAGAAACTTGAGGCATCATTGTCATATGGTTTTATGTAGAATGGATCCAACATTTCTATTTCTTTTATCAGCTCGTGTTCCCAAGAAAATCCTCAAGTGCAAGGCAGTGTCTCGAGAATTGAACTTTTCTTCAGCAGAGCAAATGGAAAAATTCCGTCTGGAACAAAAAGTTTACTTCAAAGGGCAATGTCTAGAAGGTATTCTGCTGCCTACATGAAATCAGGGCTTAGATGGAATTGGGACAAAAAGCAAAGGAGTGTTTTGAAAACATTGATTTTTCAACTTAGTTTGTAGTAGGATTTTTACTCGATCTTCAAAATCGGGGACCCCCAGTGAAAATAAACCTAAAACAAGTCTGGCTATGATAAGGGGCTTCAGGGTCCCTGACACTGAGAGTCTGGGCATTGGTGCCTGGCTTAGCACTGATATGATATTGTGACATAGTCGTGGAAAAAGCAGCTGTGCTCAGGTCTAGTGCAGTGCTATACATAATAGTGCCATAAGTAAGATTCAACTGCAAGGGCACCCTGCATTGAGTTCTCCCCATAAAGCCTAAGAGGGCATTAGGCACCTTAGCACTAAAGTTCTGAGTAAGAAAGTCTACCTCTTTGGGCTGTGGATGTGGCTCAAGCGGTAGCACGCTCGCCTGGCATGCTCGCCTGGCATGCGTGCGGCCCGGGTTCGATCCTCACCACCACATACAAACAAAGATGTTGTGTCTGCCGAAAATAAATATTAAAAAAAAAAAAAATCTCAAAAAAAAAAAAAAAGAAAGTCTACCTCTGTTTTAGTTCACATCCAGTCTGCTTCTAAGAAAATGTTGCTTACCCTGTGTCCTGCTTACTGGTCCTCCTTTGCTAAGCCACAAGAAACAAGCCTCTGGCACTACTCAGAGGACCACCTGAGGGGACTTCCTCATCCTTTCTTATGCCTCTAGGGTCTGGAAAGTTTCTGATCACTAACTTCAGTAGTTCTGGAGTAAAAAGAGGTCACCTCTAAAGGGAGGCAAAGAGCCTGGTAACTTTATATGGGGGCACTGCTCACCAGCTTTTCCTTCTTCCCTCAGAATGGTTCTTCGAATTTGGCTTTGTGATCCCTAACTCCACAAATACCTGGCAGTCCTTGATAGAGGCAGCACCTGAGTCCCAGATGATGCCAGCCAGCGTCCTAACGTGAGTGAGGTCCCAGGAAACTGCAAAGTGTATCTCAAAGCAGGCATTCCAGGCCCAGGGAGCCCCTGATCCTGGTCAAGGGGGCAGAGAACTAGGTTGAGAAATAAGGGTAAAGGAATATCCAGGGATGTCTTAATTTACAGGTTACTGACTTTTGTTCTATAAAAAAGATAGTGTGGCCAGGCGTGGTGGCGCATACCTGTAATCCCTGTGGCTTTGGAGACTGAGAGGAAGATCACAAGTTCAAAGCCAGCCAGAGCAAAAGCGAGGCACTAAGCAACTCAAGTGAGACCCTGTCTCTAAATAAAATACAAAGTTGGGCTGGGGATGTGGCTCAGTGGTCGAGTGCCCCTGAGTTCAATCCCTAGAACCCCCCCAAAAATAAACAAATAAATAAGATAGTGTGATAAGAGCAGAAAGAATAAAAAACTTTGGGTTGTGGCTCAGTGGTAGAGTGCTTGACTAGCACATGTGAGGCCCTGGGTTCAATCTTCAGCATCACTAAAAATAAATAAAATAAAATAAAGGTGTTGTGTCCATCTAAAATGAAAAAAAATTTAAAGAATCAAAATCTTTTGGTTAGACCACATTTTAAATTCCTGATTTAGGAGGCTGGGGATATAGCTCAGTTGGCAAAGTGCTTGCCTCGCATGCACAAGGGTTCAATCCCCAGCACCACAAAAAGAAAAAAAAGTTCCTGATTCATACTAGGTGTAGCAGTACAACACACCTGTAATCCCAGCCATTTGGAAGGCTGAAACAAGAGAGTCACAAGTTCACGGCCACCTAGGCCACTTAGTGAGTCTGAAGGGCTGGGGGTGTAGCAAGTAGTAAAGCATTCCTGGGTACAATCCCAAGTACCCACCCACCCCCCAAAAAAAGAAAAAAACCTCCTGATTCACCCTAACTTCCTGTCATCTTGGGTAATAATGTATGTTACTTCTCTAAGCCTTAGTCTTTCATCTCTAAACAAAGAATGAATAGTTCTTTCTCACAGAAGCATTGTGAAGATAAAATGAGATGATGTGCAAGGGAACCGGCATGTAATAGATACCAAATCTAGCTACCTCACTCCCTGTCCTAATTGCCATCCTTCTGGTATCTCTAGGCTTTATTTTATCACCTTAACAGAATCTGCCAAACTCTAAGTCCTGACTTAGAGGATATGTTTGGTTACAGGTTTCCAGTGACTAGCTTCTGATTTAAAGTTCATTTGTCCTTTGCCCAAAAACACCATCAGTTACTGCCCACCTACCATTTTCTCTTGGGAAAATATATTAGTCTTTCAGATGTTTTATCTCTGCTGAAGGTATAGCTCAGTGGGAAGGAGCTTCCTAGCATATACAAAGCCCTGGGTTTGATCCCCAGCACTGCTGGGGATGTTTTAGTAATAGTGACTTCTAAAGAGTTAGTCCTGCTGGGTGCAGTAGCACATGCCTTCAATCCCAGCTACTTGGGAGGCTAAGGCAGGATTGCAAATTCAAGACCAGCCTGGGCAACTTAACAAAACCCTGTCTCAGAATAAAAAATAAAAAGGACTGGCGATGTAGCTCAGTGTTAGATCACCCGTGGGTTCAACCCCTAATTCTATGGGGGAATAAAAAGACTACCACAGATAACTGTGTACTATCAGATCATCTCTTTCAACAGGTCCTTTATAAAAGCCACATTAAATATGTAAATAGAGGTTATTTACTTTTGAGTTTTTAATAGTCTTTTTTCTTTCATAGTTTTTTATTACAGTAGTACCTTTTTATGTTTTAATTTTTTTGTAGTTGTAGATGGACACAATACCTTTATTTTATTTGTTCATTTTTTTAAAAAATATTTATTTTTTAGTTGTAGTTGGACACAATACATTTATTTTATTTGTTTATTTTTATGTGGTGCTAAGGATCAAGCCCAGGGCCTCACATGTGCTAGGCGAGCACTCTACCACTGAGCTACAACCTCAGCCTTATTTGTTCATTTTTAAGTGTGCCAGAGATTGAACCCAGTGTCTCATGCGTGCTAGGTAAGCACTCTACCACTGAGCCACAACCCCAGTCCCCTTTTTTGTTTGTGTATGGGGATGGCACCTAGGGCCTCACACATGCCAGGCAGAGGCTCTACCACTGAGCTACACCCTAGCCCAGTAGAGTTTTAGTACTTTATTTACCTTTTTTATAATTGATCACCAGTAGAAATGTATCTCCTGGTTATTAATTACCCTGAAAAAATACAAGGTAGAAGAGGAGGACATTGTTTTAAATTTGATTAATCTTTGTTTAACTTCTTGGCCAGATCTGGTTTCTTTCAGGTACTAAAGCCAGCCAATCTACTGGAGTATGTGATGTCTTACTTTTTAGAGCCTCCCAAAATAGTAGTTAACTTTTGAGAGCCCCCCCCCCCCCCCACAAAAAAAAAAAAAAACAGTTGCCTTTCACTCAGCTTAAGTGATTTGGTAAGGTCACAGTCTCTCCTACTTTACAAACAAATGGGGGCACTGAGATAGCCACCCAGAAAAATAAAATCTCATCCTCACAATAAAGGTACATGATTTAAGGGTCTTTGACTATAAGCCAATGGAACAGGCTCTGGCTAATAGAACAGAGTTGAAGGAGCCAGGGAGAAATCTGGACAGCTTAGAAGATGCAGGGGTAGGAGTCTATGGATGGCTTCCTCCAGGAGCAACCAGAGGAAGGATCCTGCTCAGGGGAGAGATTGATTGATCTGAGTTACATCCCATGGTCACCCCTCTGCAAGGTATAGGAGGAGCCACTGGTTTGATACCTGGACTAGAGGAAGGACGGTTCCCCAAATGAGAAGCAGAGTGCTGCTACTCAAAGTCAGGAGAATTGGTACAGGGCAAGCCAAACCTCAGCTATCCACTGTAGTAGGTATTATAGGAAAAGGTACCTCTCTCAAGGGCAGCTGCAGTCTGCAGGTGGCTGTTTGTAATCCTGCCTCCAGCTTGGTATCATGAGGTCCCTGGGCTCTGTAAGCAGCCTATGTGTAGAGCACTCTATGAAGGGTGTAAGAGTACACCAAGACAAGCTCTCATGTCCCATTTTTAACTCAATGGAGACAAACTAGTCACATAAGTATCATGTGAGACTTCTAACCCGTGTGGACTAGTATTCTAATGCCCCACGGTAAGGCTTTGACTGGTGCATGATCCCAGGGCCAGAGACCCCAGAAGGAAACCACCTATGGAAGCCAAGTCTTGTGCCTTGTCATGCTCATGCTTTCTCTTGCCCTCCCATTTCTCCTTCCTCACAGTGGGAATGTTATCATAGAAACAAAGTTTTTTGACGACGATCTTCTCGTAAGCACATCCAGAGTGAGACTTTTCTACGTTTGAGAGAAGAATGAGTGTGCACTTCAAGAATTTGGGTTTTGGGTAGGGAGGAGGAAACCGTTTACTTTTTTCCTCCACATGTTTGATTTATGACACTTCACCCCTGATTCCCTTGACGCAGAGCCTGTCTGTGGCCACCAGGGGACCAGCTCCGTGTAGGTAACCAGATGGCTTTTTTCTCCCAAGCCCCCATCTTCCACTGACCAGATTAAACTCCAACCCCAGACCAAGGTAGGGGACTTGCCTGGACTCCTTCCTGGTGCAAGCAGGGAACAAACCAATGCCAGGAACTGATATTGCGGTCACCCATCCCGCCTCCTCCTTGGACCCTGCAGGCTTCCTTTGCCCTTGGTTTTAGAAAAATTCATGTTCCTGACCCATGTTTAGTTTTTTCCTACCATTTCTATTTCATACATTCTCATACATTTAACTTGTAAAATAGACTGTGATATTATTACATAATGTAATTAAAACATGAATTAAAATATTCCTACAGTTTTAGCATGGCACTGCTTCCATCTCTCCTTTTTTCTGGAACATGATTTTGTACCACAGTGAGACAAAAGATATTTTATCAGTGATAGGATCTCAATTGTATTTTACTCCAGAGATTGACTGATCTGGTTCCGGAGAGCCTCGGTTGTTGCTTCCAAGGGTGTACATCAGAGGCAAAACAAGAAAACCATGGGGAAGCAGCTGGCTGGGGAGGCTGGGCCGCTGCAAGACCAGTAGAAGGAAGCTGGTGTGGGAGAGACATGATTTCAACAGCAGTGCTTTCAGGTCTGACAAGAGAGAACCAAAAAGCGTTCTCTTTTAGAAACTTACTTCTGAGCTGCTATCCCTGTCACTGTCCTTTATAAAATACCAGTGATTCAAAGTTTCTGGAGCTGGCGCAGTGGCGCATGCCTGCAATTCCAATGACTTGGGAGGCTGAGGTAGGATGATGACAAGTTCAAGGCCAGGCTCAGCAACTTAGACACTGTCTCAAAATAAAATAAAAAGGGCTGGGGTGTAGCTCAGTGGTAAAGTGCCCCTGAGTTCAATCCCCAGCACTGGGGGAAAAAAAAAAGTTTTCTTTTACCAAAAAGGTAGGTCTGAGGCCATTACCTGGCTCTCTTTGCATCTGTGGGTGGCAAGGAAACTCAGCACTAGCACCATCTTTCAATGACAATTCTGTTCCTCATTAAATTAATCATTGTCTTCAAAAAGCTGTTCTTTAAATACCAAATATTGGGAAAAACAAGGTGGAAATGAGTTGAGGTTTCCTTTTGCTTTCTTTTTTTTTTTCAATACTTTTTAGTTGTAAATGGACACAATACCTTTATTTATTTATCTTTATGTGGTGCTAAGGATCGAACTCAGGGCCCCACACAAGCTAGGTGAGTGCTCTACCACTGAGCCACAACCCCAGCCCCTCTTTGTGCTTTCTTGAAATGCCATCTCTTTTCTCAGAGTGGGCTCATCGCCTCCCCTTTTTCTGAACTGTATTGTTTCCCAGAATTACCTCAGGAAATGCTCTCTGGAGACTAGACCCACTCTAGTGCAGAAAGAAGGCATTCCTAGAGAACACATCTCCACTCACTCACCTGGCCAAAACCATTAGACTGTGCTAGCTGCTCTGAGGAAAACAGAAGGAATTATAACCCAGTCATTCTTAAAAGCCTTGCATCTTGGGCTGAGGATATGACTCAGTGGTTGAGCACTTGTCTGGCATGAGCAAGGCCCCAGAACCTCTTAAAAAAAAAGAGAGCATATGTATGAACCCCAGCATCTCTTTGGGGTTGATACATATTCTCAGGAAAGAGTTATCATTTTATTATAAAACATACAATGCAAAACTTGTGCTTCAAGCTGGAAGGGAGGAGGCAGACTGCTGAACAATGGAAGGAGAAGGAGGGAGGTGGTGCAGGTCATAGGTGAACTCAGCAAAAGGAGAGATTATGGGTGCTTCGGACACTAGGCCACTTGCTGGGTCTCTATCAAGGGCAGCTCTTGTAGTTTGGTTGAAGGCTGGGATAGCTGCCTGAACACCTGGGTATTTTCTGGATATGTTGAAGGCCACAGAATGTTAATAGAAGGAGTGTATGAACCAGGGTATAACCACTGGTTCTCAAATACTGATGGGCATTTTCCCAGCCTCCAGAGATTCCATTTCCATAGATGGAGGGCCCAGAAACCTGCATGTAAAAACACCCCAGGGGCTGCTTACTGGTATGGCACGTACCTGAGCAAGTATGCTAATAAGTTGTACAGTATGTACCTATCATGCATAGGCCCCAAGTTCAACACCCAGCAAGAAAAAGAATAGAAGAAAATAACCTTTGGTCATTGCAGTATAGACAGTTTGCAGACCCATATTTTGGGAAGCGCTGGCATTGGCATTTAATAATTGCTAGAGACATAAATATGGCCCTGGTAGGGTATGAGAGGCTCCCAAAAGGGTTCAGCCATGTTCAGGCCACTCTTATAGGCCAATATATATATATATATCAATAAGAGGCTGTGCTCGACATGGGCCTGGCTTCCCTGAGCTTTGTCTCTAGCAAGGGATATGACAAATAATTATCAAAAGTGCCCTAAGAGAAGTACAAGGTGGGGATCTAAAGGATGAAGAGATATGTTTTTTACAACATATATATGTGTGTCTATATAGATTTTTTTTAATTTTTAAGGTGCTAAGGATTGAATCCAAGGCCTCACACACAATCTACCACTGAGCTATACCCCCAGCCATAAATATATATATTGAACCCAGGGGCACTTCACAACTAAGCCACATCCCAGCCCTTTTTATTTTTTTTATTATTATTATTATTATTATTATTATTATTATTATCATTATTATTATTTTGAGACAGGGTCTCGCTAAGTTGCAGAAGGCTGGTGTTACTTGTGACCCACCTGCCTCAGTTCCCCAAGTCTCTGGAATCACAAGTGTGTGCCACTGCACCTGGCTAGTCTTCATTTTTTTTTTTTTTTGGTACCAGGGATTGAACTCAGGTACTCAACCACTGAGCCACATCCCCAGCTCTTTTTGTATTTTATTTAGAGACAGGGTCTCCCTGAATTGATCAGGGCCTCCTTAAGTTGCTGAGGCTGGCTTTGAACTCACTATCCTCCTGCCTCAGCCTCTCAAGCTGCTGGGATTACAGGTGTGCGCCACCATTTTATTCCCTCTCCCTGGTCTCTAAAACTTTTCAGATTTATTTTATTTGTTAATTTGGGGTTTTGTTTATTTGTTTATTTATTTCAGTGCAGAGCCTCACACATCTAGGCAAGCAAGCATTCTATCACTGAGCTACGCCGCAGTCCTTGGATTTTTAAGTTATCATGTGTGAGGAATGTGCTGTTTGCCAAATCTTTAAATATTACACCTTCGCTCACGCATATTTACTGAGCACTTTTTAATGTAGTAGACACTAAATAGATTAATATTTGTGGGACAGGATGAATGAACTACCTCCCTTCCAGTAGGTTCTAAGGAGAGGAGACACAAAAAAGAAATCAGAGCCTGGTATGGTGGCTCAGGCCTGAAAACCCCAGTGACTCAAGAAGCTGAGGCAGGAGGATCACAAGTTCAAGGCCAGTCTGGGCAGTTTAGAAAGACCCTGACTCAAAAAATAAAGGGCTGGAGATGTAGTTCAGTGGTAGAACACCCTGGGTCTAATCCCCAGTACTGAACAGGAAAAATGAAGGAAGGAAGAAATGAGATAGTGATCTGAGGAAGACTGGGAAGTGCAGTGGCCGCAGCAGTCAGCAGTGAGGGGTGGAGAGACCAGGCAATGCATGGCCTTTGACTCCCTAACCAAGATTGCCAAGGCCCCCGCAGGCTAGGAATATGGAAAGCTAGGCTTTAATCAGGGAAGGATTTGTAAAATCCCTAACATGCCAACCAGAGTAAGAACCAGATGTGCCACTCAGTTGTCTGTGAACTCCAGAAAACGCAGGCTCTGGACAGGGAAGGCCCTGCCTTGTGGGTAGAAGGTGAAAGCCATGTGCCAAGCTGGTGTAGGATGGGGAGGAGAAAGGAGGGAGCCAGGTACTGACCCCCCCTCCTATTCTTCCTCCATCGCCACCAGAAAGAGCACCCTAGGATGTAGATCTGATCGCCAGTCCCCTGTACTTAACCACATTGTCTTGTTCCTGGGAGGCAATACTTTCCACCTGTATTGTCAAGTTTATTTTTAGAACCCCTTGCTAGTGACCTGGTGTCTTTTTCACAGCTTTCAAAACACAGTAGTAAAAAAATCCTCAAAATGAAGAGACATAAGAAGGCTTAGCAATGCTTTTGGTGATTTTATCTGGTCTGCAAACTCATGCTTCCACTACAGCTTTGAATAAACAGAAGCAAGAGAGGTGCAAATTTGGTGAATACATTCAGTTCTGAAGCTATGTTCCAAGGGACCCCAGGTCACTGATGTGAACTCTCAGAGTTGCCATGAATTTTTTTAACTTTAAAAGGAAATACAATGATACTGAATACCTGTCTTGTACTGCTCAGTTAGCTCAAGACAGCTAAATTTTGTTGGGTAAAGTGGTGCACACCTATAATCCCAGAGACTCAGGAGTCTGAGAGAGAAAGATCATAAGTTTGAGGCCAGCCTCAGCAACTGTGCTCAGTGAGTAAAACCCTGTCTCAAAATTAAAAATTAAAAAAAAAAAAGGCTGGGGATGTGTGGCTCAGTGGTAAAGCACCCCTGGGTTCAATCCCTTGTACCAAAAAAAAAAAAGTTTCAAAATCAGGCCATGCTACAAAATTCTCTGTGATGCAATATCTCTAGTGATCAGGCTTTCAGAGATTTTAGTGATAGGAAGCAAGTTCCCAGACAAAATCAACATGAATAAGAAATAAGGGTGTGATATCCTGTGTGATCTCAAAGTTTGGGAAGATGTACAGTGCCCAGAAATCACAAACCATGCAGGCGCTATTCATTGTGCTTTAAAAATGAAGTAAAAAGCCAAGCATGGTGGCATACATCTATAATCCCAATGATCCAGAAGCTCAGGAGATTTCCAAGTTCAAGGGCAGCCTTATAACTTAGAACTTATCTCAAAATAAAAAATAGAACAGACTGGGATGTAGCTTAGTGGTAGAGCACCCCTGGGTTCAATTCCTAGTAACAAAAAATAAAAATGTTCTCTCAATTTATGTGGCTTACACACACAAACACACACAAAAAAAATTAAAGCTATTAAGGAGCTTAATAAGTTGTTTGGACCTACTTACTAAAGAAAGAGAAGTGCTTATTTTGGCTTGGGTGCACCATGAAAAAATTATGGAGATACTAAGATGGCTATGAAGGGAGACAGTGTGGGAACTCCAGCAATGCTGTAGTTTTAGAATATACCTGTTATGACTGGGGAGATAGCTTAGCAGCAGAGAACTTGCCTAGGTTCCATCTCCCCAGCATCACAAAAAATAAATAAAATACACCTGTCAGAGGATTAGAAGCACACATACATCATTGTCACTGGCATTGACTGCCCTCTGGACTTCTGGACTTTGT